ATGAGAAAGGTTCATAGCTAGAACTGGTGGTCTTCCAGAAATAACTTCTACCACAAATTACTATATGGAAATACCCAAATACCTTCCACAGATATGACGCTTACCTTAGGAGTATCTTTTACAAAATGACAGAAACTACAGTTAACAAGAAATGTTTGCATACAGAGTATATTTACAGGTATAAACACCTAAGAACTAGGTCTTGAGAAAATATATAACTTTCCCATATCAGATTTACACGCACAAATGAGAGGACTTGGTAATTAAAACTAGATGACTTATGAAATTAATTTGTTTACAGATGAAATTTATTAGCAAAATCCGAGATACACATGAACTAGATGTTTTCACATTGAGAATTCTGCTTGGCTCGTCTCTCACACTTTGGGCAACAGCTTTTCCTCTTCAAATAGCATTCTCTGGGGGGGGGAAAAAAAAAGTTATATGAAATAAAAACTATATATTTATGTTTTCAAAATCATCGAAACCTGAAGTTAAAATAACTATGAAATCAAGCATGTTTGGTGTGACAGGGATTCGAACCCATGACCTACACATTGCGAGTCAAGCACCCAAACCAGCTGGCTATGCTGGGCCAGATCTAAAGTGACCCAAACTTTTTGTTGTTCAAACTTTAATTTTCAAAAGTTTAACTGCCATATTGGTACCAACTACAATATTTCTTACAAATATTTGTTGGCAACAAATGTACTCAAATAAATAAAAAGAAATCAATATTGATATTAAAACTTTTTGTAGTCTTTTAATTTATCCCAAACCAAATCTGTAATTCAATTCAGTTAGAAAAATAAAATAACCAGAAGATTAAGTTATTTTTCTATCAAATATTTCTATGAAATAGCTACATAAAGACTGTCTGAATACAGAAAAGAAACACGAAAAACACAACCTGTTTTTAATACTGCATATATAGCATAAGAGTAATAACTAATTACAGGACTCACTATGAAAATGGTACTTATGAGTAGAAGTGGCGAAATAGTAGTAACTACTTATAAAAGAGACTTGCAGTTAATTATAGATAATAGTAATTGAATTGCAAGTATTATAAATGACAGAAATGGACTATAGATAACAGTGACCGAATAGCACATTCTAGCAAATATCAGTGACAGAACAGTAACATTCTCATATCACATAGATATAATGATACTTACATGCATCCATGAATGATAAATAAACTTACTTGTGGAAGACTGTATAACATTGAATACAAGATGATGTTCGATCTTCAAAAGGAAATATCACTTCATCTTCCTTACACACTTCACAGATAAATCCCTTTCCTCTACAACCCTGGAAGTTTCCACAATCCAACTTAGCCATTGCTTCCAATTAAGTCAACACAACTTTTATTTATGGTTTTAATCATATGGTTCAGTAACAACATAAAGATATTCTTTAAAAAACAAGATTACAGAATACTTTCAATTTGATCAAAATAGTCTTAATTATATACTTTTCACCTATGAAACAAAAATAAAAGACAACATATTTTGTAAATTTCAGGACATATAAAAAAAATTATACAAATAATAAGTCAGATTATATGATTCTTTTTGTATAAAACAAAACTATATATTTTTTAGTATATTTGTTTGAAGTTCCATTTGTAATTTGGTTAATTATTTCCACTGTGAGAAGGGGTAAAAATCAAAGGATATCGGTGATATCCCTGCAATCTGGAAGGGGTAAAATTAAAAACAAATTACCGATAATAGAATTTTTTTCGTTTATTTGAACATTCTTTTTATTTCTGAAAACTGAAATTATTTTGTATTAGATTATATTTGTTTGAAAGCTATGGAAGTTTTCTTCCTCATCAGGTAATCCTTATCAGTATTTACCTGAGCTGATGCCATTGTGAAAAATCAGGTTTATGGTCACTGTTGAATCTTTTTTAGTTTTAGCTTTAGACATGTTTTTGTGGCTCTACTGCAATTGTCAAAATAAAGTATTCAAATTAATATATTAGTGAATATCACAAAAATTGAAACTGATTGGATATATAAGATAGAATTTTTTGATAACGTTAAAAAGATTTAAATTATAAAATGAAGTAGTTTTAATGTTTTTTCAAAATGGTGTCTCGGCCTCTAAACTTCTCACTACATTCAGTTGTTCTATCCTAAAGGAGATAGGTCTTGTCACATTCCCATGTAACCATAAGTTACTTCTCACAAACTATTTATACTGATCTAAGTTATTTATAATCTGATCTATTCTATAGTACTTAAACTTTGCCTGTAGCTAACTTAAAAACATAAATACATCGATAATTGTTCTGATCACACACTATGGGGTCATAAAAAGGGTGGAAATGACAAGTAAGAGAAAGAAAATCATGTGATAAGGAAAACACACACAATTCTCAAGGGATGGTACTTTCTTAGCAAATATAAACCTATTCTTTTGGATGAGAATCAAAATTCTGTATGTGTGTTGTGTTCAGGAAAAGTTTGAACATTTTTTGTATTTTTCTCTGTGACTTACACTAAATAAATATTACAAACTGACTAGCCAACAATTCGAAAAATATTTTTTAAAACTAATACTTTTTCAGAAGCTCAGAGAAGAAATCCTTCTTATGAAAAGGTACTTCTTAAGTTGTCATGTAGCTTCAGAAGGAAAGCTTCTTCTACAGCTTAAAACCAGACAACACTTTGTTGAGAATGCTGATGTCTATTCTATCAAAGATCTGATTGATCTCCAGTCAGGAGTTTTAATAGAATATTTGCAAAATGTTTACTCCATATTTACTAGTCATATCACGAAAGAATGTGAGGTATTGAAATAATAATACTGAATTAATTTTATTGGATATTGTGTTATTGATCATAATTGAGGTTAGTGAAATGCCAAAGGTTATAATATTTTTAAGGGGGATCCAATTGTCTTTATCTATTATGTTGACACAAATATTTGTTTACTTGTTTTTATTTTATTGGAAAATAACTAAACATTACATTAAACCATTATTATGGGCACATGACTTCTTCATTTCCAAATTTTGAAATTAGATTATATTTAAAATTTAATGTTTTTTTACACTTTAATTATGTACTGTATGTAGAGATACTGGGATTTCAATCTTACTTCGTTATCAACTAAAAATTTTTAGAAGGGCTCCTTCTATGAAATGTTTTTAAATAAATTAACGTATTTTCAATGTTAGTATGATACCTGTGTTAAAACGCATGTTTCTTGGATTATAAACCTAAAACAAATGTAATTTTCCAGTTCTTATTCATACAATAAATCTTTGATATCAATTTATGATAAACATTACTCTTACGAGGTCATATTTTGTCCATGATAATAAAATAATGCTGCATTCATATCATATGACAGATAAATTGATACAGGATCTTGTATGTAAAATGAACCCTTCTGGACTGGAGAGCAGCTTTCAGGTGTCGAGTACACGTTATAGTTGCATATCAATTTTCAAAATTCAAGTACAAAAGTAATTCTAACTATTTCAATTTATAAAAACTTAAAAAATCTTAACAACAGGTAAGAAACAACAGCTAAACATGCTAATTTGATAAGTGAAAAATGCACTTGTTCTAAGTACTAAGAAAGTCTTCTAAGATGAGAAAGATATTTAATATATTACAAAATACATGATGTTTCAAGTATGTTTCCATGTATTTATGTTTTGAATTACTATTCCAAATTTTATTTATATAAGTAGCAAAAACATATTCCTAAATGAAAGCAAATTCAATTTACTATGACACTGCAGCATGGATATTAACATTTGTTTTCATGAAGGTAATTTAGAAATAATCTTTTTTTTTTAAATTAATACAGATAATATTAATGCAAAGTTATATTTTAACAAACGTAATGAGCTATGTCTAAATGAATGATAAATAAAAACAGGATAATTCATGTTTAGACACTGGTGTACTGTTTTGTTTAAGATTTTTTTGTGCAAGGCTACACAAGGGATATCTGAACATAGTATTCCTAATTTTGAACTGATAGACTGGAGGGAAGGAAGCACATTTTTGCTGTAATGGAATTGGTTTCAATTTTGTGCAAAGCTTCACGAGGGCTATTTGCACTAGCAATCCCAAATTTAGCAGTGAAAGACAAGAGGGAAGGTAGCTAGTCATCAACATCCACCTCTTGGGCTACTCTTTTCCAATGAATAATGGGATTGACCATCACATTACAATACCCCCACAGCTGAAAGGGCAAGCATGTTTGATGGGACGGGGATTCAAACCCACGACCCTCAGATTGCAAATCAAGAACCCTAACCACCTGGCCATGCCGGGCTCGCTGCAAAGGGACATAAACCCTTAACTCCTAGAATCGCAGTCAAGACATTCTAGCCACTAGGCCAAACTTTTCTCACCACGTTTGCCTCATTCAATAATTAAATATCTTCGAAACTTTCTTGTTCAATATGTTTTGAGTCAAAATAACTGATTTGTTTCTCTTTTTCTAAAACTACCTGTTTCTGTCATTTAAATACAATGTATCTCAATTTTACAATAACAAAATAAATACAAGACATATCTTTAATAACAATTCTGTATAGAATGCTTTAAAATAAATTCTCACTAACAGCTTAGTGAAAGCATCACATTAATTTTTTTTTCTTTAGATTATTACAGTAACACATCAGGAGGAGCCTGCATGTCCTAACTACTAGGTTAGAATTTAAGCCTGCCAAATTTTTTTCAGGTGATATTTCAACTTTGATTGCTTTCTTTACCAATTTACTGCATTACTATCATGTGTTTGCTTGTGGTATTCTCAAATGCACTGATTTTACCATAGGAGTAATTGCATAGGTTCCACAAAATAACAGGAGGTTTGACAGACAATATATTATGGAGCAAATCTGAATTCTCTGAAGTTTGAAGAATGAAAAAGACTGAACACAACATATAGCAAAATAAAAGAAAAATCTTTGTTCAATGCACAAAAACAATTTGAGACTGAGAAAATATAGTATTATATACATGAAACAATAATGCTATTCTTCAAAAGATATATATATACTACCCACATGACTGTTGGTCATTCCCATCAAAAAATAAAGGTTACAGTCTTAGAGTATCACCTGTCCTGTTACTCGATACAAATAACTATCCCCTTCTACATATGAAATTTAAGCTTACAGAAATCTTTCCCACAAAAAATGCATGTGATACTGCACGTGAATGACACAGGACAATAGGTAGCTTGGGCAAAAGGAACTTAGTAGCTTTTATGACTAATGTTCTATGCTGCAACCTCTTACATTTGTATGAATGCAAATTTGTCTTCTAAAGGTAGGAAACATATAGTAAGCCTGCATAACACACCTACTGCTTATGGCAATGAGCTACAGTAGAACTTGGATTAATGGCTACCTCGAAAAAAACAGGTACCACGTCATTAAGGGCAGACCTTTTCAGTCATTTCCTTTTTTCTACTATTTGTAATCAAAATAAATCTTGCAATAGCGGGCACATCGATATTCCAGATTAAGGGCAGTGTCTTTAGTCTCATTCTCTATATGGGCACTCAATATAGCATGCAGTTATCTTTGTATGCCTGTATGGTTTACAGCTAAATTACAAACATCCCAGGAGGATGACCAATATTCAAACACAGTAATAAATATTTTCACAGATTCAAAGTGTAATCTTTTTACTCTGGGGAATTCTCGTTCTAAACAATGGATGATACATAAGCTGATAAATTTGACATCATGTTTTCAGATCAAGGGCCAAGTCGGCTTATTTCTGTGCAAGTGCTTTGTTGGTCTCAAGAATATCGTATTATGGTGTCATGCAAACAGCGTAATGACACAAACGGTGATTTGTTGCTTTATTTTCTGCAAATTTCTACTTCAGTTATTGACAGTAAAATAAATGTGAAATTTTTAGCAGTTCAAACTCTGAAGAGAAGTACTTTGAATCTTTTTTGCCCAATAATAAAGAAAAAGGGCACAGCTAATGCAACCCCTGAGACCTCTTGTTGACAGCTCTCCATGTCATGGCAACATGGAACTTGTGAATGCCCGTGTTCTACATACACAAAACAAACTGGGATGACTTCAAATTCAGAAATTTAGTAGTCAATATGGAATTCAGCTTTGCATGGCTCATTTTTAATATTAAGGGCAGGGTATTCTGACAAAGTCGGAAGGGTGCCCTTAATGTCAGAGTTCTAGTGTAGAAACTTTTAGAACAATTTCCCACCAGTTAAAACGATTTTTAACTTTTCAGATAATAATACTTACAAACTACTTACCTTCACTTTATTTAGCTCTTCCACAAAGCTGAACAACATGGGATTTAGCTCTTTTAAATTTAAAATGGGCTTTCTTTTCATTAAGCGCAAAAATTGTAATGAAGCTCGACAGACCTGAAATGATGAAAGGTAAAAATATGTGATAAACCTCTTGGTCTACAAAGAGGCTAACAAGATACACATTACATATAGTTACATAGTACCTATTAACTACCCATGTGCTACACTTATTAAAATATTACAAATATATTAGGAAAAAGTAATTTCCCTTTTTTTTCTTACAATTACCTTGGAGAATTTTGTATTTACTTTAGTTATCAAAGAGCTTCAAAATAACCACCAACATACCCATAACAGAGATCTTTAGTCGTTTTCTGTAGTTAGTTGATATACATTTGGACACTGCATTTCTTATCAGTGAAATTTTCTATATTGATGTTACAGTTTCAAATGATGTTGGTTTTCAAACTCTAGTCTTGACAAATGCAAGGTCTTGTTACCTCACCTCTATGTCTGCTTTGACTTTCTTAATTCCTGAGCCTCCAAATATCAAAACTTGATACACAAATTTTTTTTGTAATAATAGTTGTTTAACTTTGATCAAAAAGCTCTTGAACATAATATCTAATTACACTACTGTAATGAGGTAGTTTTAATGTTTGTTTGTTGTATTTTGTGCAAAGCTCAAGGGTTATCTGCACTACCCATCCCAAATTTAGAAGTGATAGACTTGAGGAAAGGCAGCTAGTCAACACCACCAACTCTCAGGCTACTCAGTTTTAATAATGCCACTTACTGGTAAGGAATAATAGTTTTCTTCTATTAAGGTCCAGTGATTGTGTTGCCAAGATGCAAGAAAACATGAAGCATATGTCAAACTTGTCAAGAAAACTCACAAGTTGTACAACTGTGGTTTTGATTTACTTTTTTCTGGCCAATTCATTTAACCAAACACTAAAATATAGCCTTAACCTTCATATACAAGTCATAGTTTATTTTAGAAAAACCAAAGAAAATATTAAATCATTAAAAAGTTCCTTGATCTTTACTTATAGAAATGGCCTGTTCAGTTTTAAATACATAAAAGCATTGGCTCTTAAGAGAATGTAAATTAACCTTTTCCAGTCCTGCATCTCGTGTTTTACAAGGGCAAGCAAAAATTAAGTTTTAAAAATTTCTGTCTAACCTGCCTCTTTCATATACCCTACAAAATGAAACTATAACTGAAATGTTCAGATTTAGAATTTATGCAAATTTTATTAACATTTGCTTTGATAAAGTACAAAAAAATGTTAACTGTAATTTATATTTTGGCTCCACAAATTGTATTTTTATTTGGAGAAAAAAAAATATTTGAAATTCCTGCCTGCATAGACAAAACTTGCCAACATAAGAACCAAATACAGATTTGTGGTCTCTGTGCATGTTTGTTGCTTATTTCTAGTTCAAATAGTCTTAAAACAACAAATTTTTAATGGTGGTTGTGGTGTTGAAGGTTATTAAATTTAACTAACTGCACTCTTTATTTTCAATTTCCAAAATGTTTAAAGCTAGTAAAATCATAAATATATTATCAGTTAATGGGATTATTTTACTTCTTAAATTACATGTACTTGCCATATCAAACTCTCTTACTTGTGTGTATTGTTAACTTCTAAACTTTTAATTATTATATCAGGAGACCTGGTTGACTACATGGCTACAAATAATTCAACTTAATCTTTTTTTCAATGCTATTTATTTGGTAATAAATTAATTTTATTATTTTACTGCTTGTTTATTTTGTTGAAATAGTTGTTTTGGCAATTATATTTTACTTTAAAAGAATTCCTGCTGGTAGTCTGAAACTAATCAAGTTTTACAGTGGACTTCACCCCAATATAAGCTTATAAATTATTGAGGATCTTTTTGAAATTTAGTACATAATTTCTAAATGAGTACAAAGGTAACTTTTATGAATAAGATAGAGAAAGATGAAAACTATCTATTTATATTGGTTTTAATAACATAAAAGCTATTTCACTGCAAATTGAATTTCTCCAAATTTGGCTTGTGCATAACTTCATTAGGCCTATGATTATATTGTTGCTAATAATAATAATGTGTAAAACCTGCTTTTAGGACAAATTTTATGGACATATTGCATGAGTAACAACAGAACATATAGCTAACTCACATGGTTGTTTCTATGTCGTATAAATTTTGAATTCACCAAATAAATCTACTGTTATCCTAATTTATGTAAGAAGCATTTGTATTTTAGACATGGTCACATTTATGGCTTATTAATTTTATACGTGCAAATACAAAAATGACAATACACTGCTTGTCTTAGGCTAGAAAAGGTTAATAAAAAAAATTCTAAGCACAAAATGTTATACATTACACTTTAATTTTTCCTAATCTTAGTAGAAATCTGAAGAAACCACATAATTTCAGTAGTTTCTTTCTTAAATTTTGTTTACTTGGACAAAATTTCATTTGCTGGCATCATTATTGTCAAATACACAAAGCATAGGCTAAAATGCAACTTCTTTAATATTTTAAATATTGGAGTTATTTATTTCCTTTTCGATAACAAACTACAAATTCTTATATTGTAATGATTCCTACTTTGCGGGGTTCAAAGTCCCAGTTATGAATAACCCTGGCTGGGATGATACTCTGGCTGTTCCAGTGACAAAAGGAACAATAATAATGTCCGTTGTAATCACATATTCTTGGAGAATGATACCCCTCTTCTGCAAACACAGACAATAAACATACAAACACTTATTAAAAAGGAAGAATACTAAGAGTATCTTTGGAGATAGA